CAATCAACGGCCGTCCTCAACTGCTTGACTTTATTCATTGGTGAATTGAAGATTTTGGGCTTCAGGTATTCCAAAAGTCGTTTATGATATGACTGCTTCCGAGAAAGTATACGATAAAATGCATGCATGCCAAGCCTATACAAAAATAAAGAATGTAATAACGTATATTTAGCAACTAAAAAAAAGAAGGAAAATACAATGAAAATTATTTGTGTATACATGCCAAGATACATCGGGGTATACAAAACTAGGTTTAGCAGTCATTTGAGATTGGGACTTATTAATCAACACATGATATGCACACTCAATTGTGTTGTGCATTACAACTACCAAAATAATAATTTGAATTTTGTGTTTAATGATAAATGATATGGATTTTACAATAAACAAATTAAAACTTCAGCTTTAAAATCAAAATTTCGAATACAGCCAAACAATAATTAACACCTACGTATTTCAAACTTTTCATTTCTTAAATCACCTTGCAGCGGTAGACCTTTGATATAGTAATGAAATTTCATTGCCGTCAACAGAAAATTTTGGTAAATATTAAGCAATACGGTCGCTCTGGTGTTGAACGATAAATCATTGTATATCGGACGACAATTCTTGATGACAATGCTGGTTCAAAATACATATATTTATATATGTACATGCATAAAATAACAAATAAAATGATATACGTAGTACTTACTCAATCATCTTCTGTTTTAATGCTTCACCAGGATTCCTTGATGTCTTGACCGTTAAAGTATCTGCAATGTCTACATGGTTTTATCAAAATACATACGTACATAATTGGTGCATATATAAGTTACGTTTAGTGAATAACGAATTAGAAAGACTTACGTGAAAAGCCATATCGCATACAATCAACTTTGCAATTCAACGTAGATGTATGAATAAGAATTCCGCACCAAGGAAAATCTAAAATCCATTTTCATTTAAGTTAGAGAATTTGTTAATTTACTACATAGTGCAGGCAAAATATTGGATTTACCAAAAGTATTATTCAATTTCTCTATCGGCTCCCCATCAACAATAACATCAAAGTTTGTTAAGCTCTTTTCTCGATTAACAACACACTTATATTTTGGATGACCTAAAATGTAATACGTTTTCAA